TATACATATATACATATATACATATACATATACATATATGTACATATGCATATATAAATTTAAAAACGTCTATCTGTTATTATTTTATATAAAATATGAATTTATAAAATTATTTATGCATAAAATACCTAGTGTTAGCTTTTATGCTCTTGATCTATTATTATATTTAATCATAGGCTTCTGTGCAAAAATCTAAATTTATAAGAAATAATTTATTGATACCCTCTTGAAATACTGATGTGCCATACATAAAAAACAGAACTAAGTGATTCACTCGTGTCACATTAGAATATCAATCACATCGAGCGGTGGCACGACGGGCACTGCCTTTCGTAGATCAGCAACGCTGCAGGCATAAGAGATGCCTAACGTGATATTGCATGGTCTCCAATTCAGCCATTTGATCCTTTCGCTGATATCTGTGCAGAGATATACGTCGTCTGTGACTAATGTGATGAACGGATCGTTGAGACCCACAAACGCCGTTCCACGTTTGCTCAATGGATCGTAGATGACTTTCCAATAGAACTTGGGTACAGACATGACTGCGTCTTTGGGGTGGAGATATACGGGTTGCTGTTTATTATGAATGTCTTCCATGGTCATCTGACCGTGCACTCCCGTGTAAACGTCGAGGTCCAAACGGCGGTTGGCGGCGAAGCGTCTGACGCTGATCTCCAGGGAATTCCAATTACCAATGTTAAAAGTCTGCCACTGAGGCGCGGTATTCAAGTACCAAAAGGTTGACCTCTGCTGGCTGCCGTAGACGAAATCCCCTTTAGCTACTATATGTCCGCGGGAAAGAAATTGCAGTGATTTTTTCAATCGTTTTTTAGCCAACTTGATCGACTTCAGAATTTTAGTGAGAGTATCTAACTGAGTTTCGAATTTGTACAGATAATCTATATTTATCCCGGGATAAAATTTTCCCACTAGGAACTTGGACGGTCTGAAACATGCAATCATTAGTCGCACAAACGACGTTTTTTTTATTGACGACTGTAATTAAAAAATTATTTTTTTAATTATAATATATTTATATATTTAACAAATTACATTATATATAAGTATGGAAACATAATCATTGTATTGAATTAAATGGATGATTTTTCTGGTAATCCAAATATTAGTTTAGTAGTATATTAATAATTAAATATATAAATATAAATATTAA